CAATTGAACACAGAGCGCTTCAAAAGTCAAAACCCAACAACACCATCAACCTGAAAAATGTTTGTACTAATGATGGGTACGTGACTGCTGTCTGTCCTTCACATACTTCATGTCCTTCGCCGTCTCTGCAGTGCGTGTCGCCTTGGTCGGCAGCTTGTCTCGGATCTTCTGGATGTCTGCCTCAATCTGACTTTGGACTTGGTTGAAGGTGGCCCTGGTCAGCTTCTCTTGAAGTTCTTGGGCACGGGACTCTTGCTCAGTCTTGTCCTTCGACTCCTGCATCTCCAGTAAATTCCTGACAGGGACATTGCCAAGTTTGGGTTGTTTGAATCGGAGTTTCCTCAAACTACCTAAACTTGAAAATGACTTTCACCAACGCTATCCTGACTTAAAGCTATATGACCAAACCTGACTTGACTAGCTCCTGAAGGGGCCCAGTGACTTCATGTCTCCGGGCGGGACTTGTTGCTCAGCGCACAATTGAAGTTCCGGGTCCATGCCACCAAGGAAAAACATGTTCAAGAGCTTCTCCTTTGCAGCTGCAATATCACTGCTTGGGAGGCGTTTCTCCAACTGCGCATTGAAGTGGAGAAACAAGCCACAGCAATGACGCAACAGGTTCGCATCCTTGAGGCTAGGGGCTCGCTTCACCCCTGGTGGAAGCTGGTCCCAGTCAGAGGAAAGCCGCTGGATGAATAACTTTACCTCACAATGACTGACGCTCTAAACTACCCCACCCCTGAAACAATGTGGTATCTGAAATAATGTGAACCTTGCGTGTGGCAGCCCTACATGTGTCTAAAACATTTTTTGCTTCTTGGGACCTTGAGCGCACAAAACTTCTATCAGTCTTGGGAAGCCAAAGGTTACAAAGCACAAGAGTTCGCTGGCAAGCTACCAGCTTGCAGTCATCCAGGTTGGTGCACACAGAAACCCATTGTTCGGTTGCACCCGAACTGGAGGAATATCCAGTGTTGAACAACCCCTTCGCCACAATCTCATGGCCCAAATAAGACCTCAGACCCCTGATGCTCACCTCCTTCTTCAAAATGACCACAACTTCTTTCTCTACACCAGACTGCAAATTCGAAACTGCGGCAGCTTCAGCCTTCCCGATCTGGAAAGCCCTGACGATAGCTGTGGCTGAACCCCAGTCCTTGCTTGCAGCGATGGCCAGCAAACCATCACTGTGGCAAAAACAGGCGATTGAAGCAAATAAGAAAAACAATACAAAAGGCAGCCTCAAAAACAACAACAAGCTTCATCAAACTGCTGCTTCGCTGATCCAAAACTGGCCTTGGACAGGACTTCAACCTGTCGAAGGAAGTTGAAACAGTGAGGTGACCTTCGCGTGGTTGTGGATGCTAAGGTGATTCCCCGATTTGCCATCACCTGTTCTCTGATGTTCCCACTCTTGCCCATCGTAGCGAAAACAGTTCGCCCCAGGACCTGCAAGGTCAAGCAACTCTTTCAAAACATGTTTGCGAGAAACTGCTGTGTCTTTAACCATTGTAACAAAAAGAAAAGGGACCTAGTTCAAAATCTGGAAACTTGACACTTAAGAACATTGGGACAGGCCTGAAACGGCTTTGGTAAATCTTCCTTGGGAATAGCCAGCGATCTAATGGCAGCCAAGATGGCTACCATGGCTGTCGACCTGCGCCACCCCTTAACATAGCCGACCGAGAACGGTGGCAACAGGCCTCAGGTTGAACTTGAAACGAAAAGGTTTGAGCTGAGACTGCCATTACTGGTGACAACATGCATAACCTGCGCGTTGTTTGCCTTGAGCTGCTGACCTTCATGGAGATCAAAATGCGGTCGATCAATCTTGCTCTCAAGCATGGCTTCAACATAAGGGTCGCATATTGTAAGCTTCTCCACTCCACCCAAGTCTGGGTTTGTGCGAAACCTTGAGAGCAAGCAATGCAGTACACACCTGTTGTCAACAGACCAAACATGTCATTGCCAACACAACAACAAGGAAAAGTATCAAACTCCATCCAAACAACCCCTCTTGAAGAATGAGCTGAACCAAAGTGATGAAGTCTTCAGGTTCTGCCATCCCCGAAAATCCGAAGTCCTTGCGAAATCCCAACATCCATGGGCGCAGCACGCATGGTCCAGGAGAAAGGGATGAAGCATACGTCTGCCTGAAGCCCACTTATCTTTCAAAAAGTATGTGTTGGCTTGACAGAACATCACGCGATCGATCTCAAAGTGTTGGACCTTTAAAAAGGTCTATATATAATCGTCTTCAACCCCTGAATGAACCCATCTTTGACAAGGCGCACAGATTCCGGCGGTAGGAGATCATCAACGAAACGCGCGAAATCCATCAAATCGGCCTGAGGTCGCAAAGTGTTGAAACAGTATCTTCTCAGCAAGGTCATATGCACTGTTCATGGTCGCTGCTTGTCTTGAGTCATCTATCATGGGCCTCAGTCTTGAAAGTCTTGTCCATATACTCCTGCAGGCCACCAAGTGGAATCACTTCAGATTGAAGCCTGGGTTTCAGCGACCGAACAACATCACAATGTTCTTGCTGGCTGAAACGTGCTCAAAAAGGAAGAATATGCAAAAATATAGAGTAAGTTAATTTGATATTCTCTCAGCTCAGAAGCCAATCCGTAATTGATGTCGTAACCGGACAGGTCAAAACCGCCTTTGGCGCCTTAAGCTTCGCATTGCCATCACCGCCACCAGACTTCCTTTTAGGCATCCTACAACTAAGGGACGGCAAGCGTCGACAGCCCTGCGCAAAGAAAAACTGCGTCGAGGTCACACCTTGCTGTACAATTCGTGACAGCATCACGGGTTGTTGCCAATGGTCGACTTCAAAGTGTTCAGCGCCCCCAAAAACCAACCATAGTAGGAATGAATCCCTTAAAATTGCACCTGCGTTGTTACTTCAATGCTGCATGTGGGTACAGGAGACAAACTGTTTGAAGTGTCGGATTCAGTTGAAATCCGAAGCTTGGAGCTATTGAAACATCAACCCTGAAGAAAAAGTGTGAACAAAAATATTGTGGAGACATCAATGCTTTCTGAAGTGTCGGATTCCACCCGAATCCGACACTTCAAGTTTTCCTGACTGGATGAGCCTGAAGTGTCGGATTACACCTCGGATTCGACACTTCAGGAGTTGGTCTTGCATATTTGGCAAAGTTAAAGGTTGTTGAAAGATATACTTGGGCCCTCAGCCAGCAGGGCAGGGGGGTCCCAAGTGATGAATCCCACCTTGAATTCAACACTTCAAACCCATATTGAAACAAACCCGTAACTATCCTACATACATTCATAAATAGGAACAGAATGCTGCCCGTTTTTTCCCCACAACGTTTAGGGTTTAGGGTTGCAACGTTTAGGGTTTAGGGTTTCTTCATCCTTCTTATTTAAAAAAGCACACAAAATTCGACACCTAACCTAAAATTTTAGTGGGTGCTTCAAGGTGTAGGTTCCCAGGTGTGAACCATCACTCCAAGTACTTCAGTGAGAGGCCACAGCAATGCTGGGAAAACGATGTACGACCAGGTACTCGAAAAGGGAGCCTGTGGTGATGGATGCCAGGTGGGATACATCACTTGCTACCCTTGGCTCAAAACTTGTGTGTGTGGTGTCAGATTCTCCATTTTGTGGCAAACTCCAAGTGTCGGATCTATACCCTCAAGCCTTTCGAGAGCAGAAAGGCTGAGTGGTCAACATTGAAGCTTTTTTGCATGGGCGCAACAATCAAACAATGTAAACACACTGCTTCACACTGCATACTTGAGCACAAAGCCAAATGCTTACACCCTTGCACGCCCCTTCGCCTTGGGTTTTGGTTTAGCCTTAGGCTTACCCACTCCGCAAGGATAGAGGAGCTGGTTCGCTTTATGAACAGCTCGAGTGGACAAGGCCAATGCCTCATCCCATGAGACCCCAGCACTCCAGGCCTCAGCTGCGGCCTCTAAAATGATCTTCCGATTGCTCCGGGCAATGTACTTGTCCATGTTCTTCTTGTCGTCGGCGTGACGGGCAATCCTTGACTTGCAATTGTCCGTTTGGGTTTGATGATGCAAGAGGCTTTCCCCCAATAAGATGAAGGTTTGGGAGGGGTTCGCCAAGTGTGCCAAGCAAAATGGCACGTTACCCTAATGAAATGTAAGGGCTATGGACTTCAAGAATAACCGACATTCATAGCTTTAGGCTCAGCTGCCAAGTGGCTTCAACTTGTTTGGGATGGGATCGAATGTCCTGACTGCTGCAAAGCCAGGATGATGACCATGGTGAGGAGACTGTGGCGGGCTGAAAGAACACCTTGCATCAGTTCTAAACACATGCTTTCATCTTCCCCGCCCACAATTCAAAGAAACTTGAGCCACAACATATGGTATTTGACTCTTTGGACAAGCAACGCTGATACATCCAAAAGGGGCGCAAGCAGAAGTTCTTCATTCGTCCAATCTGTGAAAAATGCGGCTGTTTGATGAAGATTGTATGATTCAAGGATTGGGCAAAACTTGCGAAGATGATCTTTGTAGTCTGATGAGATCTCATTCTTCTCCGCTACACCTGACAGACTCCCCAAAGATTTTGGTGTGAACAGTGAGCAACATTTCTGATTTTGAATTTCATCTGCAACACAAAAACCCAAACCGCCTTGTGGCAGACCTGTTGGGATCCGGTCGTCCCCCATTGCTGCTGGGTAGAAAAGGAAAAATGAATTGTAGTCCTTGTCTTGCAGGTATTGCTTGGTCCTGCAGCACACATGGAGCTTCTTTCAAATTTGAGTTAGCGTGCCCAAAGCAAAGACCAACAAATACCAAGGTTTTGGTTCAGGTGGAGCTGCTGAAACGTAAACAACGCGTGACACTTGCTTTAAACCTCAATGACATGTCATGAGGCGCCGAGTGGCCGCACAAAAACATCGTGAGGCCTTTCATCCTCTTCCCGCAGCCGCCAGTACAGGTCTGTGGCGCCTGCAGCATCACTACCTTGGAAGAATGACGCTTCCCCCCTCAACAAAGGTCCGAAACCACATGCACTGAGTGAAACGTGAATGACATGAGCATGAGCGGAGCAGAGCTACCCAAGTCTTCCCTTCTTGAAACATCAAATTGATGAGGAGCACCAGGACCTCCCATGCCCTGAGTCGTGACAGGCACAGCCAAGGAAAGGAATTCCTTCCTGGGCGCAAGACAAGAGGTGGATTTTTGCCACTTTGGCTTGGGCCAAGAAATCTGACCCCCACAAGTCTTACGCGAACTACCAACCACCCAGTAATTTGGAGGCGCAAACAGGACTTGTGGGGGTCAGATTCCATGACCCAACCCCAATGGAACGTTGGCAACAAAAGGGAAGGAATCTGCAACCATACCAGAAACAACAATTTGTCAACCGTCAAACTTTCATCATAAAAATGATCCAAAGAACAAAATTGAACATCCAACTCAGACTCCAAGGCCGGTGTTGGTCTAATTTGACAACTGCCCGCTGTTCCTCAAATGGTCGCGGGGCAGTGTTCACATAGCTCTGAATGACTTTGCAGAAATCATCTGGTGTTTCTAGAAGCTTCCCATGGCGGATGATGAACAGACTGCAACCTCCGAAGGTTTGATCAATGTCTTCGTGGCTGTGGCCACTCCTCAAATGCTTCATAGATGCTCCAAATATGATTCCTTGGAGGATTTGATGCTTCCCCCTGAAGCCACACCCACCAGCAATCAAACCTAGAAGCGATCAAAATCGAAAACATTGAGCCAACCCAAGCTTGGCTGCTCCGTTGAACCAAGGCCGTGAGTAGCCTCAAAGTCGTCGAATTTTTGGTCTCTCGCGAGGTGTTGTCTGCTACCAAGTGGAAGGTGGTATCCTTCAGCCTGACTCCCAATCTCTCCAACCGCGTCAACATGTGACAGAACAGATCCGCCATGCACGAGCTATCCTTAGGCTGGTCTGGGTTGCTGATGGCCATCAAAAATGACCACCCGTGTGCTATCACGCCAATCACTCCCAGTTTTGGGCGCTGAAGGGTCGCCAAATCTTTGGCTAAAACCAAACGTGTCCTAGGAAGCGCAAATTTTGCTTGATCCATACCGTCTTGGATGATTGTCAGGTGCCCCATGACACGTAGTCTGGATGAGCCCCGAAAACTCCAGTATATCATTCGGTCGCGGTATTGCGCAGCTAGATGCAAGTGGAACAGCGACGCTTGCTTTGCATGCGCATGGATGTAGGGGGCCAGCTCCTTCAGTAGGAGGCGGTGATGTATGCAACAAGAACATTGGGCATGACTCGTCACACCTCTGAACTTCAAATAATTGAACTCCGTTCTCCACACCCGCCAAAAGGTGGAGAAACTCACTGAATCGTCCAAACACTTGAACTGTTCATAGTACTCCTTCATCGTGCCAGGTGGCAGATACCGCTCCTCGACACCAGAAGTCTCGGGCTCTCGCTCAACATGCACTTTCAACCCTTGCTTGTATCTCCTGACTTTCTGTCTTTTGACAGGCTCCATCAAAGCTGGAGGAAGGTCAACTGTGGCATATGGATCAACAGACTCACCACCACCAAAAATGCTCAACTCTATGCCGTCATCACGAACATCTGGTAAAGTCTCTGCCACGCTGTCGTAGAGTGTTTGAAGAAAAGACACCACCCGAGCGGTGGAGCAATTTCCAATTGTTTGGCTCTTCGGCTTCGTCACGAAACGGAGGTCCGCTGGTGGTCCATCAGCGCCACGCGAAGCTGCCCCCCACAACCGTTGGAAGCGTCCATTCCCTGACTAAATGTCAAATCTGAATGGCAGGGTTCCCAACCCTCACAATCAAAAAACAAAATTGAAAAGCATACAACCTTCCAGCTTCAGAGTCCCAGCGCGTGCAAGGCCTTCCACCCTCGCAAGCATACAGAAACACCATTGAAGGTCCATGCAACAGTGGACTCAGTGCTAGCAGCTTTTAAGGCCTTCATCTTGTCAAAGACCTTGCGCTGGTGGACAACAGAACCCCCAAAAAATGCGCAACAAAGGTAGAACCATAAGTCTCAGGAGGCTGAAAGGAAAACAATGCGCTAAATTTGATGCACGAAACAATTCTGTCTTGGTCAACTTTATGTATGTCTACCCAGCGTTGTCGGAACTCCAGCAAATCCCTGAAAGCTTGACCCGATAGAAACGTGTTCAAACAAGCACGCTTGCAACCCTTGCAGGTTCGCCCCAGAAGGGCTTTGATGTGAACCTCACTTGTGATCCGCTCTTGACACGTCAGGCCGTCAGCCCGCTTTCGTTTCTTCCTGGTCATTCCTAGATCCTTGAAATCAGCTGCGTGACTGCTGGACGAATCCGACAAGTCAGCGACAGTGATGGGACCCAAATGGTCCACTGAATCTTGGGGTGGCATCTTGTTCGTCACCCCACCCTGCTTTCTGGTATTTTTCCTGGCTGCAACTTTGGGAACATTGGAATCGTCGCTCAACTCCTCTATGGCAGGAAGCTCATGCTGAGGTGCTGTCATTGCCAACCCTCGCAAGCAAAAGCACCAGTAGCACGCACCAATTGCACACACAAGGCTTCGAACCGCAGCAACCATCACAGCATACTACGGCTTGGACAATATTCTAATCTTCACTGCCAGTGGCTATATAATAGCATTAACACTGACGTCATAACATATTTATATGACATATAACCTTGCTGCTGAACGTGTTTCGTTCCATCGACTTTGCAACAACAAAAGCAAAGCTCAGACTCAAACGAAAAGCCAAAAGACATCCTGGCATCACGCGTTCCTGACATGGTGGTCCTGGTTCAACCCTGAACTCAACATGATCCAAGCTGCGCACATTTCAACACAGATGCAATCAACTGTCGCTGGCATTGGGTTGCCTACTACCTCAAAATCTGTAAAGCCTGCAGCTCAGCTGCCCAAATCAGGAAGTCCAAAAGTCAGGAGGCGTCGGGGAGGGGATGGCAACCTTGGGGCTGCTTGGAGCATGTTTTCTTGCAATTGCATGTAATCTGATTTCTGCAACCAAACAAACAGTATGGTTTCACTTGCTTCCAAATGACAGGGTTGTTCATTTCACCGGCGACCAATGCCCATTTGGCATAACAAAGCTTCAAAATCATCCACATTTCTTCCTGTTCCCCAATCCTGTCAATCCACAGTCAAAGAGATCTCAAGACTTGGATTCTTTTGTTTAAAACGTGGGCATGGGTTTCTAATCATGGATGACGCGCGCCGGCCTTAGCTTGGAATACACAACCAAAGGTTCATCAGCATCCCTCAACTCCACATCTAGAAAGATTGCCACCTTGTCCGTAACCAGGTTGAAATGCAGTGAGAACACGCAGACCGAACCAGGCTGCGCCACTGATTCCCGTGTGATCTTAGTGAAAAAGTCCTCAGGCACCTTTGCCAAAATGTTGTCGAAGAACACCCTGAGCAAGAGCTCACGTTGAATGACGCACAAAGCTGCTCCAGAAAAAGACAAGTGTTCAAAAAAATAGAAACAATGTTGAACAGTTGATGAGAGCAACGAGTAGTGCATGGGTGCGTGGGCATCAGCCGTCATGATCAACGTCGGTACCGTTTCGCCCCCAAGCTCAACGTTGACTTCATGCACTTGGGCGTAGGTCAAAATCAGAACTCCGGGGGCCATCATACGGGGGATCACCTCTTCCCTGAGCTCTTTTGGCGAGGGAGCAAATGGTTTCGAGAAGTCGCCCGCTCCAACCCTAGCCCTGCGAAAGTTCATGAAGGCCATTGCTGCAGAGCAACGGGTGTTTGGAGCCCCTGCCTACTAGACTCGTTGAAAGGGCACTGGCTGCAAGCTACCAAGTTGAAAAGTTGACTGTGAGCAGGCACTGGGAAACAAAATTGAATCAAAAGCGAAAGGGTATTCTTTTGCAGGTGGGCACGAAAAGCTGCCAGCCGCAGCTTTGATGAACGAATTGGTCCAATTACAACATCGAATTGACTTCAGCCAAGTCCCTGGGCTAAAACTAAGCACAGGGAAGACAGAAACTCCTTGGTCATCCCTTCAACAAAAGTTGATTCAACGCGCAAACACCTAGCGCTGCCTGGCGGGGCACGACAATGTTGCCAAGACAGTTCATGCGTAGCTGCTCTTCGTCAGAGCGAGAGTCAAGAAGCCACTCAGAAAGAGGCACGTTCGAATCTGGATTCCACTCTGCTGAGGCCCAAGACTGGAAGTCCACATCCTGACCAAAATCTGAAATTAGGATTCTTCACTACTAGTCTTTTCAACCTGCCTCAGAACCTTCACGAAAAGGATTGTACCCTTTCTTCGCGGCGAGCAAGAACACACGCTTCCGCCCCGCCTCAAATCACTTTTTCCCTTTAAAGTCAAAGTCGAAAAATAAGGTTTGCGTTGAGGCCCGAACCGCCAAACCGCAGTTGGACAACTTCACACTGCACCATGTGAGGGCCAGCCCACGTCTCTGACAAGCCTTGCAAGCACTTGATACCATGGATCCCGGAAACACCCCTTTGAAACAAAACCCGACCTGAACAACAAAGTCCATCAGGTCCCTGCAACCCTTTTGGCGTGATAGCAAAGCACCGACGTTCTCAAGCAGGATAGCTAGCCGCCTCAACGCATAAAGTTAGGAGGTACCCACATCCTGCGCAGAGAAGAAAACAACACCAACTACAAACATCTGGAATCCGAGGCCCCACACCTGGAAGGTTCCAAGCAATCCCACACCCTAAACACGTGGGCCACCAGCGATGAACGAAGGTCTTCCATTCCAAGCTGTAGTCCAGCTGAACTCAGCCCCTCCAATGATGAACCAATGCGCACTATCCCACACAGAACGAAAAGAATTGCCCGGCCTGACATGGAAAGCCTGCTAGCAGGCTTTCTGCAGATTCGCGCACTCTCCCGGAAGGCTCGTAACCAACCACATCTGGCACAATTGCTCCCTGTGGCAGGTTGCCTTCTGACATTCGTGCCCTCAGCACTTCCGCGCAAAATTTTGAGCTTTCAACCTTAATCGAGACTTGCTGTGATGACTGGTCACACAAAAGGCTTACACAAAAGTTAAACGTGAATCTCAGTGCGAAGGTTCCCCAAATTCTTAGGAGGAGACATACTCAATGGTCTCAAAGTACCTGGCCAGCCACAGGTGGCAAAGTAGAACGCAAAGGAAACAAACAATCCAAGCTTTAAGCTGCAGCAAGAACACATTGAATCCAGAAGATCCGAAACGCACAGAAAACTGCACAAGTTTTATCGCTCAATGTCAGGTTTTTGGTTTCTTCCTGCATGGTTCAGAGAGGAAATCCACAGCTTCCTGCGCGCCATGACTGGCGCAAAACAATTGTAAAAATTGTGAGACACAACATAAATCAACGCAGTAGGCCTTGTTAGCGTTGGGCTTACTTTGCTCCACTTCGGGTCCATCAGCTTGCACCCAACAGTTCCCTTGCCACAGCCACCTAATAAGGGCAGCCAGGTCACGATGCCAATTGGTTTTTACAGACAGAAACCATGTTCGATCAAGCGGCGTTTGATTGCGCCAACGGCACTTCAACACCACAGCGTCGCCAGAGATCCTAAAGGAGCAAAGAATATCTTGTATAAAGCAGAAATTGCTCTCACAAATGGATGGCAGTTTGCTGACAAAGGGCTTCACTTTCACTTGGTTTACGCCGACAGTGCGCACGGTCAGCCATTTGTCGCCATCAGGCTCTGCGTCCATCGGTCCAGGTTTGGAAGGTCAAGCATAGCTGGTGGTGACTTTGGTTTTGACCCTGATTGCTGGTTCTTTGGTTGATGATTGAAGTAATGATGCGCGGCTTGGAATGACGGCTGACAGCTGAGGACGCAACACACGCTGCATAAGTTCAGCGCTGAGTCGCTGCTCGTGTCTGAAACCCACCACAAACATGCCCTGAGCACCTCTGCATCCCAAGTTCCAAACCTCCAACCCCTGTGAACAACGATATTGCCTTCAGTCGGCCTGCTGGACCCAGAGCCTGGCGCACACCAAATTATCATTGTATCCATGATCCATGCACAAACTCATCGCGCCTGGGTCCTGTTCATGGTGATCACATTGACATCTCCACTGCGCGGGCTGGTCCAGCCAAGTGGGAGCCCACTCAGATACTCAGCAGCTGTCACTGCCAAGAAACGACCTGGCTTGACACCTGCTTTTTGGATAGCCTGCTGGTACAGGGTGGAACGCAAGGTCCTGAGACAAGTTGGAAAACTTGCAACTATCATCGGAAACAATTAAAACAAAAATTGAGCCCTGAGCAGTCACCGCACGTTCAGAAACATGGCCCAATGATGCGACTGTCGAAGCACTGAAACAACCTTGCAACAAGGTCTTTTCAACAGGACTCAACTCCTAACACAACCATTGAAGATGAGGCGTGGACGGATGGACCCCCAACTTGCGCAGGTCTTGGACCCAACAAACTTCTGGGCCCCGTTGGCTTTCTTTCCTGGTTTGCCCCTCTTGACCTCGAGACAACTCTGCTCGTGACTTTTGCCCTGCTACTTAGTCTGAACGTGTCTGAGCACAAAAGTAAGCCATTGGCAATCTTTAGGTTCAACTTCTTCACCGACTTGAAAGGCACTGAAAACTGCTTGACTTCCCCGTTGAAGACTTGCCCATGCGCTGGCAACTGGCAAGGAACGCGCGCAGTTTGCTTGGAAAATGGAAGATCTCCCTGCACCTTGGCCTTGCAGTCGTAGGCATCGCGCTTTTTTGCTTTGAAAGCCTGGCAATCGTGGTGACAAAGATTTGCAGTATTGAAAATCCTGGCACGCCTTGGAAGAAGGTCGCTTGCTGCGCTGACAGGCCTTAAGTCTGCACTTTGGCGACTAAGGCTAAAACTTGCCGCTGAACAAACATGACATGTTTTCAGCATTGAGCGTCCCGCTTTCAATTTCATGGCTGCGGGTTTCTTCTTCAGGATCTTCTTTTTGGCTGCGGCCTCCAACAAATTTGGGCACTGGTTATTGTTTATGGATTTAGTTTTGAGACGCCCCGCCTCTTTGCGGATTGTTTTGGACAGCTTCGGCGCCATCAGCGCACCCCCTTCTTCTTCAGACTCTGTCCTGGGCATGACTTTTTCAAACAACAACTTGAGCATAAAATTGTACGTGCCTAAGAACAATCTCAGAAACCGGCAGGTCTGTGACCGGGCCCAAGGAGGCTGACATTTTCCCAGCGCAAACGCTGCGGCACTTACTTGCCAACCCTCAATAAACATCCAAGGCCAAAAAGTGGCCCAGAAGAGTCTGAAAGTGGAAAATGCTGCCA